TTGAATAGAAAAATTAGATTCAAGTAGGTAGATGCTCATGAATCTTGTAGTAAGTATCCGAAAGACGAAGCCTGGAATATATTTGTTGCAGTGAATTTTTCGAGTTCACATTCAGTTGAATTATGAAAGTATTGTTATTACACGATTGCCTGATTTCGATATTAATATGCGCTCTTCCTATATATGTGTGCCCAACCCACTGCTTATTAACAGTTGTCTTCGCAATATACTTCGGATTAGTTGGCCAGACACTATCAGCAAAAATGTACTGTGTGTGAGAATTAACCAGATTCCAGTGGAGGAGGAAACCAAGGAAGAAGCGATGGAAGTGGATAGGAAACACATTGGGGAAAGTACAGAACTGCGTCACAACACAAGCCTCCACTTGGAACCCTCAAGGCAAAAGGAAAAGAGGAAGGCCAAAGAACACATTACGTCGAGAAATAGAGAAAGATATGAGAAGAATGAACAAAAATTGGAAAGAACTGGAAAGGGAAGCCCAGGACAGAGTTGGTTGGAGAGAACTGGTGGGCGGCCTATGCTCCATTGGGGGTAACAGGCGTAAGTAAGTAAGTAACCCACTGATTAGATAAGAGAATCAAGAGTGAATAAGAACATTTTACCGGTGAATCGAATCCGATTACATGCACAAACTTATTCACCAATATAGACAACTATTTCCCTTGGATAATGAAGCTATATTTTCAGAAAAATGACCTGTCTGTTTACTCTCAATGATCAAATCAAATCTTGATCGATAGCATGCACGCATCAACATCTCAGCTTCAAACATCCTATCAATAATATAATATTTACAGTAGACCCAGTAGTTTTGAATTAGTACTGGTTTAGTTCATATATAATTATGAGTTACTCTTTTAAACTTTAATCTTAAAATTCACAACTAGATCAAGTTAATTAACAACTTTTCTCATATATAATCAGTGTACTGTACTCAGCAGAGTGATCAATTTTTCGGCTTATTTAGTGACTAAGTGATGGATATTAGAGATTCCATACTAAGAAACTCTGGGGTCGTCAACCTCACACACAATCCTCCTCCTTTATCCAGGCTTGGGACTGGCAGCAGCCTCAGAGAGGCTCCAGGTACAGTTAATCACAATACGTTGGGCTACGCTACGCTGATATGACAGTTAAGCGAAAATTACACTCCAGTATACAACGGTCATTCACTTAATGATCAAAAGAATAACCAGAAGTAATGAAAAAGAAAGCGTTTCTTGAACACTGAAGACGTTTGTAGATGATTCTAGATGTGGGGTTGTGTTTAAATAATTGCAGTTGTCAATAAATAAATTCAATTTGACATAAAATTTGGCATAATATTTAACATGATGATTCTTTGACTAAATTATTGACATTTAACATGACATAAAAAAATTGATACATTTTATCAATCAATATTTGTGATGACTTAATTTAAAAATATTAATTGATAGTGTGGTGCGAGCTACTTATAAGTAGTATATGACGTGAGTGTCAACGTAATGTTTGGCAGCAGAAGATGGGGGAAGATCAACAAAGGAACAGTTAGAACACAATGGAATTTGTATGAAACGCATGAATAGTGACAATGGATTGATGTTTTGCAACAGGAACAGTCCAGTTCGATATGATGAACTGAAGATTTGCAAATTAACCGTTTACGATATGGTTTTCCAATTTTACTGAGTAACTCTGTAATTTTCGTGAAATACAATCCGGTTGCCCCACCTGTGTTCTCGTTCACTACAATAGTATTATGATGCGGGGTACTTATACGAATAGATATCAGTATAAGAAGGGTAGGTAGTAGAAGTCTTAGGGGCAAAAGTAAATGAAGAAAGGATGAACAAAAGCAGAAAACAGCGAGAGTAGAATAACAACAAGAACTGAATTTGATAAAAACGTTTATGCGAACGATTCTGGAAAAATTACAACCATGCAGATGTGTAGTATACTGGCCGATACCATATGGTGACTGTAACAATGACAGTCGTATTGCAGCAGTTAGTATATAGTACATGGGATCCACTTTCATTTTTCTCAAACAGATTGAAACCTACTCAGACGAGATATAGTACGTTCAAAACAGAATTGCTGACGATCCACTAAGAACTAAAGCATTTCTGGCATATGATAGAGGATTTTTTTTTGCACAGTGTGCGCAGATGACTAACCTCTCACATAAGCATTAAACGTCAAACAAGATAATTACTCGCCGAGAGAAATTAGACTATTAGAAGTTACTTCCCAGTTTACGTTAAACATACAGTATACTAAAGGCAATAATAACTACGTAGTGGATGAATTATCTTGAACGACGATAAACAGACTCATTCCAACGGAAATCGAGTATCACAAACTAGCGACATTAAAAAAATACAGACGTTGAGTTGATCAGGCAACGATACGTTAACAAAATTTCGTTGGTACTCGAAGAAGTTCAATTCGATCATGTAAATGTAACGTCTGCTGTTTTTATCAGCTTACTATGGACATTTATTCTGCAGCCATTAGGAATAAAAGTCATCATCAAGTTAATCAATAAGCGTTTCGTATAGCTGAATAGGAGACAGGACGTTAGTAACTGGACACAAGCATGCACTGAATGCCAAAAAGTCAAAGTTCATCATGACACTAGTTCCCGATAAGTTCTTTTTGCAACCGCGACTCTAGATTCGAACATATACACACCAATACTGTAGGACCACTGCGAGTTTCAAATGGCTTCAACTATACTTTTACCTGCATCGACAGATCCACGCGATGGCCTGTAGCAATACCAATAAATGACAACCAAGCTGAAACAGTAGCCAAAACCTTAATGGGGAACTGGATTTCTTGTTACAGAGCACCAGAAAATACTGCAATTGACAAAGCAGCTAAGTTTGAAAATCGCTTCTTCAGACAACACACGTCTACCAGAGGACTGTTCACTTCAGGTAAAGGTATCCCAACGGATATAAGCAACTGAGACATACCCGTAAAATGATATGGTTGATGGCTATTACGAGTTCACCTTACACAGTAAACGAAACGAACTTCAACGATACAGTGACCAAGAAGTCTTGATAAGTAGAGAATGTAATCTACAAGTACCCATAAAATACGAGGTATCTAAACACACAAATCAAGCTTACATATACAATGATAGAAACGCGCTTGGGAGAGCCACAAAGATAGCGTACTAAACTAATCGATTAACCAATGACGGTCAAGGATTTTCGGAGTGAGAGATGTAAGCTGAAGGTCAACTAAGCACCGCTGTCGCGAAAATATGGAAATTCAAAATTTCACAGTAAAATTACAAAATTAGGACCTTCCCAATTGAGTTGTGGGGAAATAACTTCTACACTTCTACACGCTATCGATGCAGCATCAGCAACACTTAAAGAAGTATCCACATATTTTCCAAAAAAGAGATAATATAAAGAATCCATCATAACCTACTTGCGACAGCCCATCTAAAGTAGTTAGAACTATTATAATTGAAATAGCTGGAAAAAGGTATGTAATTGCCATCGATAGAGTCAAACCAACTTTTATCAAAAGTGACGAACAGCCAAGCCAGTAAGCACAGATCCCTCAAAATCCGTAGCCTTGCCGAAACCTGAGTTTCAATGAGCAGCAAACGGAATCGAAGAAAAACGATGCGTCCAATAACGACTAGATATGGACGACATGTTAAATGGTTGTGACGAAATTTAGCTACAATATTGAATCAATAATTTTTTGCATTGCTCCGAATATGAATTACTTTTTTTTGCTCACACTGTTTTATATCTTGGTTAATAAAACACCTCACCAACGTTTTTAATTTGATTCATCAGTCCTTCAATTAACTTATTTTAACAGTGCCGTTAGATCAATGATAACTTGTTTTTATCTTTGCGTTATTATATTTCTTCAGGGTGACAACTTCAGTCACTTGTGGCGTAAGCGAGATATGCATTTGCAAAGCTGTCAATCAATTACGAAGAAATTGTAATAGTTCAATTTTGTGTGTGTGTGTTGATGGTATCTAGGAGGACAATGCTGTCGTTAGGAAACGGGTACTAGGTAAGGATGGCAGATCAATAGATGAAGTAGAGAAACTTCATCAGTTAAAGTGGCTGGGATGTGTTTTGCGTAAGACTAACCACCGACTGCCTCGAAGAACTATATTTTGTAGTGTAGGAGTAGGTTGGAAGAAAGGTAGGGGCGGCCAAACCAAAACATGGCACAAATCTATGAAGTCACTGACAAGTGGACTGAGCCATGTTGGCAGGTATCGACCACCTGGTTGGGGTCCACGAGATGATAATAATCGATAGTTTGAGACCCTGAATGACATGACTCAAAATCATTTGCATTAGCCGAGGTGTATCCATTGTTCGTCTTCTATCAAATTTTAATCTTCTGAATTCCTCTTTCATTTTTACATTTATTTCACTGGATTATACTTCTTGAATAACATCTTCAAACCCTAATCTTCTCCACTATCGCTAATACTTCTGCAACTATAAGATTTGAATTGACAATTGCACCTCTGTGTGCAAATGCTGTATGGCAATCTGAACTGATGTATGTACATACGTACGAAGTCCTATGTTTCAATTGACTAATGTATGCTTAATCCCATGTTACAGCCTACATACATACATTCAATCCTCTTACCAGCTTAAAAATGTTAGCTACTTGATTGAATTGCTCAATAACTGGTTCACTTTCTCACAACTATATATATGCTGCCTAAATCCTCCTACTCTTTCGTTTTCTCCCAAACAATACGCTCAGCTGTTCGTATTTGCTTTGTATGCATGTGGCTCGAGTTATTCTAATGAAGGTTAACAGAATGAATAACATACGATACAAAGTATGAGAATCATTTCAAATATAATCTAACTATGAAATCATAAATTACGAATATCTTGTCATTACTAAAAACCAGTCAGTCAGTCATCTCATAAGTGTTTTTCTTCGGTGAACCCATGTCATATATTGAAAATAATACAAAATTTATATAAATTGAACAATAAGCTTTTATTTAATCAAACAATACATTTGTATAAAAAGACAACAACAATTTAGAAATGAGATTAATTAATTAATAGTTATTGTCAATCAACATATTTTTATCTGAATAAGAAGAGCAAAATGAAAAAAAATACTCCATGATTTTTAGGTTTACTTTTTTTTTCTTCTAAAAGTTAACCAGTAGAAAACACCACATTCAACAAAATCAATGAGTAGGCAAATGAGCGCCCGTATGCAGCACACACAGGAATACACACACACAAAGCAACAAAAAAAGAGAGTACGAATGAACCTCGGGGGAAAAGTGGGAATACAAAAATGTTCTCTAAACAGTCAAAAAAAAAATTCCATTCTCATTCAATTTATTACGGTTTCATCATATTGGATTTATGTATATTCGACCAAACTACATTGATACAATGCCATTCAGCATGTTGACCGCATAATTTTGCATTTTCAAATGATGCGCACCAAAATGATGGACCACGTGTACATTTATCATCAATTTTAGTAGTTTTTATTGTTGATAATTTCTGTGATGTACTACTACTACTACTAACGAGCCATACTTTAGTTTGACAATGTTCCAAAGCTGAATCACCGCATAATTTAGCAGTCTGTTCTGATTGACACCAATAACCTGGTCCCCATGTACATGGATTTTTGCCTAACATGTGTTCTGATTTTGTTTTAACAGTTTTTGATGGTGTAGTAGTAGTGGCATGATTGTTATCAACCATTTTATCATTGTTATCCATATCATTGGGATTAATAATTTCCGGTGTATATAAATCTGTACAATAATTGATTGCATTACATTTTTTAGCTATTTCTTTTGATGAACACCAATAGGTGGGACCGGCTAAACAAGCAATTTTATCCAAATCCAATTGATGACCTAATTGATCCGGATTTGCATTCATTGATTGATGATCATCGCTTTGTGTTTGTACAGGTGATGATTGTTCACTTTTCACCACCAATGGAGCACAATTGATTGTACGCTATATGAACAATATTATATAAAAGGCAATCAATGTATATATGTATATATGCATACACACACGCACACGCACGCACACACAGACACACAGACACACAAACACACAGACAAAGAATCAAATGGTTAATTTCTTTTATTATGGGATAATAATAATAATAATCACAGATTGACTTCACACATTTGACGGATTCCAGTTATTGTGTTCATCAAGTTCAGTTTGCTTAGTTAGTGGTGGTCATTATTAATGAGAGTTGTTAAGGTATACACTATTGTGGTGCGCGCTACTTATAAGTAGTATATGACGTGAGTGTCAACGTAATGTCTGGCAGCAGAAGATGAGGGAAAATCAAGAGAAAGGAAGAGTGGGAACACAATGGAATTTGTATGAAATGCATGAATAGTGAGTGAAATGTCAGACAATGGATAGATGATTGATTGAAGATTTGCAAATTAACGGTTACGATATGGTTTTACTATTTTACTGATTAACTCTGTAATTTTCATTAAATACAATTCGGTTGCCCTCACCTGTGTTCTCCTTCACTACACTATTACTAAGGACAGAGCGTTTGTCCAATAAGTCCATAGTATTCAGTAGTATTCCAAGTGACATTAATATGAAACGATTATCAACTGACAGAATCGATTTCTACACAGACAATTTGTGAAGAATGTTAACTATGTGATTTCAGCGTTCACATCTAGCAAACTGTGCTAGCTATCACTTACAATAGTTCCAAAGCAGCTAGTCCTTAAAAAATTAATCATCTTAAAAAGTGTATTCCAACCAAATCATGTATATAACCTAATAATATCCCCGTATATCCTGGAACAACCAAGTAAGCAATGCTATAGTTAGGAAATGAGTACTACGAAGGGATGGCAAATCAATAGATAAAGTAGTGAAACTTCATCAGTTGAGGTGGATGGGATATGTGTTATGAATGTCCAACCACCGACTGCCTCGTTGAGCTATGATTTGTACTGTAGAAATAGGTTGGAATAAAGCTATGGGCGGCCAAACCAAAACATGGCACAAATCTATGAAGTCACTGACAAGTGAACTGAGTCGTGTTGGTAGATGTAGTAGGCTACCTGGTTGGAGTGCGCGAGACGAAAGTCACCAATGGTTAGAGACGACATGCATCAAAATCGTTTTCAGTGGCGCAGGTGCATCCACTCTTTGTCCTTTCTCAAATCGTAATCTTCTGAATTCTTTATCGCCCCTACCTTTCTCCTTCTAAATTTATCTCACTGAACTATTCTTCTTGAATAATGTCTTCAAACCCTAATCTTCTCCATTACCATTAATGCTTGCACTATCTTTACCACTATGGGATTTTTTAACTGACATTTGCGTCTTTGTGCGGATGCGCTATGGCAACTTGAACGTCGTACGTACTCATGTAGGAAGTTCTACGTTATTAACTGACCGACTGATAGTTTATTATCCCACGCAGTACATACATGTATTTCTAGTTACACAGCAAACAAATTAACCATAAAATTGTACATAATAAAATACAAATTAAATAATACATACAGCACATATTTGTTCAACATTTTGACGATCATTTCTTGAATTAATCAACAACGTTCCAGCTTTTTCAACAACATTATAACACTGAATAAGAGACAGTAAACAAATTAAAAGCACGATATTTTTAATAACTAATTTCGCTGAAGAAAAAAAAAGCTTCACGTAAAAACTGATAAAATCAATAACTTAAATAGATAGTTACTCAATCAGTGTATGAGAGAACTGTGAGTGAAAAACTCCGCCTGTGTAGCACTCAGACGGTTACAGTTGATCTCAATTCGGGATAAAGGTGGGAAGATTAAGCACGGGCATAAGGTTAGCAATCCTAGTGGTTGGTTGGAAGGTCTTCATTTAGAAATCTATGAAGTTTTATGGTGAAAGTTGAGGTTTTTCAGGAGTTGTTAAGCCAGTGATCGGAATGATCATGAAGAATGTACAAAGAAAAAGAGAACTTGATATAGTTTCAGATGAAACTGAAACTAAATAAGCACCAGATAATCAGAAAAACAGCAACACGAAAGTTCAATTCGACCCATCTTTACGATACTGACAAACTCAAAGAATTCAAGATAGCTCTCAGCAGTAAGCTCAAGGCTTTTTGACAATCTATTCAATAAAGAGGAAACTAATGGAAAAGAGATCAAAGAAACATTTGCCTTAGTATGCAATGAATTTTTAGGCCATAAGTAGAACGATCACAAGAAATGGATCTCTTTTGATACTGTGGATAGGACTGAAGAAAGGAAGAACAAGAGGACAGTAATCAATAACAGTCAAACAAGAGCAGAGAAAGTTAAGGTACAGTCCGAAAACACAGAAGTAAACAAACAAGTGAAGAGAAGTGTTAGAGTTGAATAAGTGAAAATATGTGGAAGAGCAAGCAGTGATAGTAGGAAAAACCACTAGAGAAGGAAACATGAGACAACTATATCAAACAATGTAGAAGATGGCTGGGAAATATAGTTAACCACAACGTCCAGTGAAATGCAAAGAATGCAAAGTAACTCCTGCTATTCAAGAAGAGCGTAACAGATTATTAGAGCTCTTCAATTGAACGACCCCACTGAATCCACTCAACATCGAATAGGTGGAAACATCTACATGCCTGAAGAGCATCATTGATAAACAGAGTGTATCGGACGAAGATATGAAAACATAGATTAGCAAAGGAAAGGCAGCGCATTCCTACTGATGAACATCATCTCGAACTCGAAACAACTGTCAATCAACACTAAATTCAGAGTTTTCAATACAAACATCAAGACAGTTCTTTTGCATAGAGTTGAAACTTGAAGAACCACGAAAACCATCATTCAAAAGATACGGTTATTTATAAATAGTTATCTAGGCAAGATACTACAGATTCATTGGATAGATACCATTGGATAAAGGCCAACTGTGTGTTGTTACGGGTATGAGGGCGGTTGTCAATTCCCGGCTGCCCACACCGTGGAAGGTTGTTTCTTGAGGGACCGGAAAAAGGAAGAAAGATTGGTGTTGGTCTTAGAGACCTATAGCAGCGAACAAACCAGCTTCCAACTGAAGAGGAAATTAGGACAACATTTTGGAGGTGGATACACTTCAGAAATCATTGAACTACATGACATACTAAGTCCTAGCTTGAAATCTTAAAGCCGAAAGAAAAAGTGACAGACAAAAGAACACACGGAACTGAGAATCACAGGTGGACATTGAAGAATGAACAGTACATCGTAACAATAGGAGTCTTCTGATCAGCGGTCAATGAAGCTACTCAAGAGATAGCAAGCGTAAGCAACGGTCAATTGAAATGCATGCATGGAATCAACAGTAAGAAATAATTAATATTGAGACTCAAAATTCAAAGAAAAAATAAGCAGTACCATTACTCGAGGCATTCATTCAATCATTGAACATCAAGTGTCTATTCAAGTACAAGATGCACATATAATGAAGAATGTTAAAGTGTATTGAACAAAATATGCTCACACTCAGCTTGATCGAAACGCACAAAATCACAAAATCACATAAAGCACAAATAAATACGAACTTTGTTTTTAATGAAACATTTATAAAACTATTTTTATTCATGTGAAACAAATGAATTCAGAGTAAATGAATTGACAGATCAAAAATATCATTATTTATTAGAAATGTCAATTAAACAATATATGAAAAAATTTTTAAAAAAAAACTCGAAATTGTAAATAATTACTATATTTATGTAATGAGACTACACTCAGTAGCTTAATGGATGACGCAATATTGTTTGAAGCGAAAGCTCTATTACTAACGGAGTTCGAGTGTCAATGTGAACATCAACACCAGGAAGAGGTAAGTATGTATTCAATCAACTGACAAATCCCAAAATATAATGGTATTGAGCATACAAAATACTTACTAGATAACAGCCAACGTAGGGGAACAAAAAAGACGAAGCTTTAAGTTTGCTGTTATAAGATAGAGTGAATCAATAATACTAGTTTCAGATGAAAGGAATTTGAAAAACTACCAAAGACATCATCCAGAAGATACTAGTATTTATGAACAGTTATCTACATAAAATACTTCAAATCCTTTGAGCAGACACTCTTGATGGAGATGCCTTGGAGGACGTTAACACCTTTACACATCTTGGCAGCATCATCGACAACCAAAGTGGATCCGATGCAAATGGGACGGCGCGGATTGGCAAAACAAGGGCTGTATTTCTAGAGTTGAAAAATATCTGGAACTCCAAACAACTTTCAACTAAAACCAAAATCAGGATTTTGAATAAAAATGTCAAGACGGTTATACTGTATGGAGCGGAAACCTGGAGAACTACAAAAGCCATCATCCAGAAGATACAAGTGTTCATTAACAGTTGTCTACGCAAAATACTTCAAATCCTTTGGTCAGACACGATCAGCAACAACCTAATGCGCGAAAGAACTAACCACATTCCCGTGGAGGAGGAAATCAGAAAGAAGCGATGGAAGTGGATAGGACGCATATTAAGGAAATCACCCAACTGCGTCCCAAGACAAGCCCTCACTTGGAATCCTCAAGGACAAAAGGGAAAGAGGAAGCCCAAGGAACGCATTACGCCGAGAAATTGAGACAGATAGTGAGAAGAATGAACACAAATCGGACGGAACTGGAAAGAGAAGCCCAGGATAGAGCAAGTTGAAGAATACTGGTCAGTGGCCTATGCTCCCCATTGGGGGTAACAGGCATAGGTAAGTAAGTAAGTAACTTATGAAAGCAGCTTATTACCAATAGCTAGTAATGTGATATGATTCAGAAAAAAAAAATTTCGGTCAACTAAAAACAAACTATCCTCTGTCTCTCTCTCTCTCTCACCTGTTGTAATTCATTGACAGTTTTATATTCACTGCATATACTACGATTAATAATTGGTCCACCAAATAAATCCCATTGTAACAACCATTTGGTTGTCATCATAACGCATACAGAACATGGGGATTGATCATTTGTATTATCCAAAGATAATGTTGAAATACTAAATAAATTTAAGAAATTTTTCACTTGTTCTTGATAACAATCATTTATACGATTACATTTTTTCGCCAACTCGGAATTTACGCATATTTCAGCTAATTTCATTAATTCACATTGAGATTGAAAGAATTTATTTTGATTTGATGGTGGATAAGTTGTCCAACCATTGAAATTGCAATATTGCACAGCATTACACATTTTTGCTGTACTATAATCACGACACCAATAAGTTGAACCTAATAAGCATGGATTTTGTTCAGATAAACTCCAAGATGGTACGGTGGGACAGAGTGAAATTGTCTTATGAAAAATAATAATAATTATTATTATTATTATTACTATTAAAACAATAATTTATTAATGTAAAATGAAACATGATTTCATTTGTATATGAAATTGTCTATGCCTAACGAAATCAGTGATAGATTTAATCAATGTTATACATATATATATATATATATATATATATATATATATATATATATATATATCCGGAGTTATATATATCAAGGTAAGATGATAGGCCTTTTTTATGGTGGTGTTTGAAAATAACATGAAACTTTCAATCATTCAATCAGTCAGTTAGTCAGTCAGTCAACAACAACATAAAATTTCCTACATACATACATCAGTTCAAGTTTGCCGCTCCACAATGACACACAGAGATGCAATCAACTGTCAACTCGAATTTCATAGTCGTACAGGTAGTAGTAATAGTAGCAGCAGTAATCAAGAAGATTAGGGTTCGGAGATATGATTCGAAAAGTATTAATTCAGTGAAATAAATTTAGAAAGAGAAAGATAGGGATGATGAGGAATTATGAAGATTAGAATTTCAGAGAACACAAAGAGTGGATGAACTTGTGCCATTACAAACGCTTTTGAGCAGACAGACAGACAGACAGATACAACGCAGAACTTCGTACATAAGTACATCAGTTCCGGTTGCCACACCACGTCAGCACAGAGACGTAACTGTCACTTCAAATCCAAGAGCGATAACGATATTAGAATTATTAGCAACAATGAAGAAGATTAGGGAGCGAAGATATGATTCAAAAAGTATAATTCAGTGAGATAAATTTATAAGGAGAAAGATAGAGATTAAGCGGAATTCAGAAGGTTAGAATTAGAGGGAACGCAAAGAATGGATGCACCTGCGCCACTGAAAACGATTTTGAGCCATGTCGTTCAAGGTCTCTAACCATTGGTGACTTTCGTCTCGCGCACTCCAACAAGG